ACATTTTAGAATATTTGGGTGGCCGTTGAACGAGCTACGTTCCTGAGTTTTAGTTATTAATCGTGTCTGAATTCGTATCCATTTAGTTCCCTTGGAAGTTAGCATGACATTATTTAGAGAAGCAGAAGTAATTTTGTTAATACATTTAATTCCACTAATAAAAAACCAGAATTTAGATAATTTTAATAAAGTACTATGTTAATAATAAATGTATCATTTAGTTGCGTTCAGTCATTGTTTCTGACTCTGTAATTATTTCCAATACTGGATACAGAGAAAGAGAGAGAGGATAATGAATATGTATTATTTAAATTTTAGTAAAAAAATTGAAGCAAGTACTGTAACATCCTGGTCTCTTCGGCTGCCACAAGACGAGCTGCAATATAAGCAGGTACTGTAACATCCTGGCCTCTTTAGCTGCAACAACACGAGCTGCAATATAAGCAGGTACTATAACACCCTGGCCTCTTTGGCTGCCACAAGACGAGTTGCATATAAGCAGGTACTGTTACATCCTGGCCTCTTTAGCTGCAACAACACGAGCTGCAATATAAGCAGGTACTATAACACCCTGGCCTCTTTGGCTGCCACAAGACGAGCTGCAATATAAGCAGGTACTGTAACATCCTGGCCTCTTTGGCTGCAACAACACGAGCTGCAATATAAGCAGGTACTGTAACATTCTGGCCTCTTTGGCTACCACAAGACGAGCTGCAATATAAGCAGGTACTGTAACATCCTGGCCTCTTTGGCTGCCATAAGACGAGCTGCAATATAAGCAGGTACTGTAACACCCTAGCCTCTTTGGCTGCCACAAGACGAGCTGCAATATAAGCAGGTACTGTTACATCTTGGCCTCTGTGGCTGCCACAACACGAGCTGCAATATAAGTCAGCATTCAAGATTCTAGCTAGGTATCAAATATATTGATACACCCTCAGATAAAATCAAAGATTGACACATTCATTGGTAGGCATCAAATATATATTACAACCATTGAGCATGATACACTGAGGTACCTTGACACGTCCTGGTCGAGAAATAGAAAAGCTGCATTAAATTATTTGTACATTTGCATCCAGTTCTTTATTCTTCAAACATCAGTGCAATGGAACGTAATAAACTGCATAATCCAAGCTATGTAATAGATAGAACTGTTTTTGACACTCAAGGTGTCTTAAAGGTCTCCTACGTTAACTATTAGCCTAAGAAATAAAAAATATGCAAATATGAAAATAAAATGTGATAGATTACTCATATGTATCAGATTTATAAATATGCATATATACAGGTAGCTTCTTGTTTAACAAAACAAATATTGTAGACTGGTACTGTTGGATGCTACCTGTAACATCTATCCTCCATCTGGGTTCGGACTAGCGATGAACAGGTCTCATCATTCTTTAGAGCATGTATGGTGGCTCCT